GCTTGTCCCCGTACAACGTCCATGACTGACCTCCTGGATTCTTCGCCTCTATCCCGATCGCGTTGTCCTCATCGTGCATAAACTACAGGTAAACGTCAGAGTCGATTCGAGGTTTGCAAAAGACGGTCAAACAAACCTTGGCACAGGCATCCGCTGTAATATCCGTGCTCCTATGAAGGAGTCGGCGCGGGATACGGAGGTGACCAGCAGAGAACGAATCCTCCAGGAAATGATCAGCGAACGCATTCATCGCGTACGCACCATCTAAATCCCCACTGATCGCCTTCTGAATCGCAGTCGCATGTCCAGCATTATACGCAGTACGTGCATCCGCTCCAAAGTGGTCCCAGTTGATCTGCGCTAGCCCAAGGTACGCAGGTATGCCGGTCCGGCCAAAAGTGATCTGTTCCAACTTCGCGCTCACATCCGAGGGAGGCTGAGCGTAGACGACAGAGGGATCTTGATGGTTCGCGAGAGCGTTGTTGACTGCATCGACCTCCGCCTGCAACACTGCAAGGATGTCCATCGCTTCCTTTGGCAAGCGGGGACCGCCATCAGCAAGTGTGTTGTACGCTCGCACGAAGCGCGCAGAGCGGTCCTGGTCGTCTTTGCCATCGCTGATAGGGTCGTAGGTCCCATAAAAGTCCCCAGCAAGGCCGTTGATCTGGCCGTAGGTCAGACTGAGCTGGTCTTTGAACCGGAACTTGTAGTCGGAAGCGGCAACCTTCGTGCCATTCGCGAGGGTGAGAGTAATCGCGTCTCCAATGAAGCAGTGCTCTGCGTATTCAAAGCCTTGGAAAGCGTGTCAATGATCATTCGGCCTAATCACTTAACGGAAGAAAGTGCTCACCAAGCTTGCCCTTCTTGGGTGCTTTGTTTCGGTCCACAACTGGGACAACTGTACGACCGAAGACAAGGTCCTTCGAGTCAATGGTCTCGGCGACAGCGCGAGCATCGGGTACAGAGGGGTCTGAAGACATGGTGATCGATTTCGGGATAGAAGTGCTTGTTAGGTAGTAGTAGATGCAAGTCTTGCAAGCGTGGAGGACTAGGTTAGTTGGGCCGCGTTTTTAAACAAGTGGAAGACAAGTGCCGAAATCAATGGAGATAGGACAGCGACTGTTCATGTATACTTATCTGGGTGAATCCAGCATTTTTGTCTCGTAACCGGTGTCATAAGATTGGCTGGGAGGCTCGAGTAGCAAGGCGCACCCCCTTGTGGTCAAAGTCAAAGTCACAGCTATGCCTATATGATGTCGTAAATCATTCATGTTAGGTCCTTCAGAATTGTCAGATGGGATACATCTTCGGAGCTATATTCAGGCCGGCGAAGTTGGGTGTAATGATGTCGATATAGTGCATCCAGAAAGAAAAGACTAAGCATGATTGCACAAGTCCTACCCTTGCAGACGCGCTTACATTCCGTGCTGCTGGAGCCGGAACCAAAAGATGTCGAAGAGACCTCAAAATACTGCCACATTTCGTTGGAACGTCTAATGGTAAAAAAAAAATGAGTTCACAAGAATGAATTGAAAGATGAGAAATTTTCCGTACGAAGGAAGGGAACCTGAAAACGGCCTCCTCCGCGATCAGAACAAAGGAAATAACTTTTCGGCTGGGCAAAAGGAAGCTGGGCTCGGTACACGAAAGGTTGATAGGACAAAACTTTCATTGAGTTTTCCGTACCCCATTTTTGCGGCATACAAAGGCAACGAAAGGCCAAGATAAGCTGTATAGCCTAGTCTACTTCCGAGATCTGACGCTGGGAGTCGGGCATTTGATCGATTCATATTGTATGGGGACCAATCAGCCTGCTGGCGTGAACCATCGCGTGTGTCGGCGCAGGCAAGAAGCGGAGGCGACAGGCTGAATGGAGTGTGGCGAGATTTGATGAAGTCTGGGTGTCTTTGAGAGCTCTAGATCAAGAAATTAGGACGCGTGTACACGGGCACAGAGTCACGGTGTTCGTCAACAATCTTTGGCATTATGAACTGCAGGTGAAGGCGATATCAATACGAGTTTGGCGGGATGAGGTTTGTGGGCGTACGAGATTTGGTCTTGGGGTAGAAAGTGCGACACGCTCGACAAAGATGAATGCAGCACCCTCAGCTGTCCTGCCTCCAGAATCCACGGTGAGCCGAAATCACGGAAACATTTCTCCCTTCTCATGCCTGCACGCTGCTGAACCCAGCGCCTCCTTTGTACCCCCATCTCTGCGTCTCTCTCTGAATCTATCACGTCGACACGTAATCCGAGTCCTGTTGGAGTTTTGAGAAGCCGTTTCCTTGGGGAAACTTGTGCACCGAGAAATTAGGCATAACGTTGACGAAGGAAAGGGCTTCTGTGAATGTGTTGTGTGTCAAACGGTCGTCAGGAATACCGGCAAATGGCTCCGCCTGAGTCGATACAGAGTCATCGACGTTGTATTGAACGTCGATAGTGCTGGCGAAGGCTCCTTTGCCCGGGCCAATACGTAAATTCTCCATGGAGTGAGTGCCTGTTCAATTGGAACCGAACCAATATGAATCTTAAGGACTAGCCATGAGTTGTGACACATGTGAAGCCTGAGCTTAAGCTAGCTTGAACGTTTAAACGTTGAACCCGAGCTTGAGGCGCGAAGAGAGAAGAATACTTTGTGATGAAGATGACGACAAGCGTTGAATGCCTCTTTTGGACGCGCGTATGCAGTGGCTGTGTTGCCCCGACTCTTGCTTATCACTACCAGCAGATAACTTGCCATGTCGCTCCCCGCTTTCCTGATTGAAAGTTCGCTCTGGACTCATACCGTGACTGAAGAGTGCATAAGCGTCAAAGAAACCGCCGGACGCTGTATACCACAGAGAATGCATCGTGGAATTCGAGACGGTGGCAGAATCTTATCCAGTGACAATTATCTGGAAAAGTTCCTACGCGTGATACTCACAGTAATACAAGTTTTCGTTAACCTCTGCAGCCATGACACCGATAGTGAGCCTGCTGCTTTACTCCTTTCCTTCTTTCTCAAGGTTCTTTTACAGGTCCGCGTGTTCACGATTCAAGCGACTATGCTCGGTAACGCTTGGGAGGTACCGATATTCACGACCTCCAACACAGGCACGCGTTTCCACAGAACGCCTCTAATGCTCGACATGCATCAATCGCTGGGATCGACCCACCTCCTTGCAGCGACCCTTCGGTCAACGTTTAACGTTTATTCACGATAACGCAGATAGTCCACCATCCCTCTTCACCCTTACCACCACCATTACTTGACGCATTGCCCTTCTCATTCGCTTACTTTCCTTGACTGAAGACACGTGCACACAAAAAAACTCCTCCTTTCATCGTAGTTTTGTTCGATTTCTTGGTGTGGGAATTCCTCCGCAGCTTCACTCAGACGACGTGTCATCACGGTGGTTTTGAGTGGAAGGAGATATAGAGATGACCTTGGGACAGCATCCCCGCACTGAGGGCAGGCGGTGTCTTAGCCATCGTTACGGTTAACGTTCAGCTCGAAGACGGTTATCTCATCTTCCAAAAACATCCGGCGTTTGCCGCCCTCTCCGCCACACCTTGGACCGGTATATTCTTCCTGAACGTTAGGGTTGCCTAGTACTTCCCAAGCTGGTAACTACACGATGTCGTCCAAGGTTTTTACAGCGTAGAGAACATCAACAGCTACAGGTTTACTATCCTTCTCCGCTACGTGAGTCGTCCAAATCCTGGCTTTTATCTTTCTTTTGGTGACGTCTCTCTCCCCTAGATTCTCTCTTCACGTCCATCAGCCTCCTCGTATCTCAGCTGGTCGAACAGCGCTTAGTATCATTGCTGTGAATGTTTCTTGTGCGTCCAATTGCAGGGGAACGTCTCAGATGTGTAGGATCAATTATACGTATCCTGTTCTTTATGCCCAAGTCAACCTGCCGTCTCTTGCTTCTTTCATACATCAAAATCCACGCGCCATGCATGACCAGCCTCCTGCTCACTGTGCCAGCGACGGCTCCAGGGTATGTCTACCGTCGTCACCTCGAACATTGAATTTGTATTGACGCGACTGTCATCTGCAGTTCGTTCGTCGAGAGGAGGAATCATTCACGAGTTTGTCGGCAGTGTCGTCGGAGCCCTCAGCGCATTTCCGTCGTGCCCGTCTCTGCATCTCTCATTCTCGTTTCCTTTCTCAGCTACACTCTCTGGAACCCCAATGCATAAAATCCTGACTACTCGAGAACGCGTACTTCCTTCCAAGTGGTGGTGGCTGGAACATACAGCTTGACTGCAGAACAAGAATATCGACAATTCAAAAGATTCACTTCTCTGCTCCCCACTTCACATCCACTTCATAAACAAGGCGTACGATCATTTCTTCCCATCTACCTGCATCTGTATGCATACCGGAGAGTTCAGAGCTCGAGCTGCAGCGTCATCCGTTGTTCCCCTTGTCAGCCCCCCAAAAAATCCTCTGAGCCTACATGAAGACGGCGTTGCGATTGATATTGAGCCAACTCAATTTCAATACCGGAGATGGGAATCCCGACTGAAAGCCTTCTAGTCCATGCATGTCGGCTAATCATCTCGGAGATCCCAGAAGCGGGTTCGTCGAACAATTCGCAGCCGTTGGGATGTGAAGCACGCTTAGAAGACTACTCGAGGTTTGCGCCGCATCTCAGGCACTCTCTCGCCTCTAATGGTGCCTGGGAAGCTCCCTCCGACAGCTGTACTCCATCGGAAAACTAGAGTGATTGTGCACAAGTAGGGCATCAGTGGTTTTCCCCTGGATTTTACAACACTGCACTGATGTACTTGCGACACGAACATGAACACGACTTTGACAGACGCCCAAAGGCGTGAGAAGTATCATCTAAGTATTGAAGTGATAGCGTGAAGGTGGGAATCGAAGCCAGTGGTTGATGATTTGGTGAGGCCTGGCTGTACCATCTTGCTGTATGTCCACCACGTTGCATTGCTGTATTGCGCATTGAAAACAGTTTGCCGGCGCTTCCTCTCTCCCTACACCATCCACTATGGCAGAGGCTCTTGGAATCGCATCCTCCATCGTCTCCCTCCTCGACGTCTCTCATACTATCGTCAAATATCTCAAAGATGTCAAAGACGCACCCAAAGAGCGAGATGAGCTCGACAGGGAGCTCTCGAACCTTGCGATCTATCTGGACACGGTGCACCGGCTCACTCAGACAGCAGCGGCAGACGACCCGTGGCTTGAGACGGTGCAGAGGCTGTCAGGCCCTTTTGCACAGCTAGATGAATTACTGAAAAGCGTCAAGACGAAATTGGAGCCTGCATCAGATGGGCCTTTGGGAAAGATGAAGCAGAGACTGCTGTGGAAATTCAGCAAGGAGAGCGTTGAGGAGGCTCTGAAGAAGATTGAGCGGATCAAGTCCTTGGTGATGGTCGCCGTACAGCACGATCATGCGTGAGTTAGGTCTCGTCAGTTTCGCCCTGAGCAGATGCTAACTTGCGTGGTTACCCAGGGCTTTATCTCGCGCGCTCAACAAAACCTTGGTTATTGTCGACACAAAGGTCGACGGCATTTCGGATAATACCAAACGCATCAAGGACGACGTAAGCCTCGTAGGCAAAAACGTCGTCAAAGTCAGCGACCACGTCATGCGTATCGATGGCGAACTATCGCAAATCCGGAGTAACATGGAGAAGGACCAGGATTGTGCGTGCTATCTGTGTTTTCCATACTGGTCACTGATGGGTTGAGATGGCAGATGCTGGCATGGTGATGCGTGTCATCGCTTCGCTCACTGACTCGAATTTCAAGTCCATACAAGCTGAGAAGCTGAGCCAGCAGGTGGTGGGGGATACCGGTCGCTTGTTCCTTCAGTCCGAACCGTTCCGACAGTGGGTAGATGGTACGGCAGTATCGTCGTGCCTGTGGTTTCCCGGCGATCGTCAGTCGTTTTCCCAGATATCTTCACTGTCATGATCCTAACCCTGATAATCTCTCCCAGCCGGTGTCGGAAAGACCATCCTGGCGTCCATCATCATCGACTATCTGCGGTCACTACCAGTGGACCAGGAGAAAAAGACGCTCATCCTGAGCATCTTTTGTGATTTCCAATCTAGAGCCGCAAAACGCATAGACAAGGTGCTTTGTGACTTTTTGAAGCAGCTTGTTCGGGACAAGGGCCTCTCTTCCGCGATCCTAATGTTCTATAGCCAGTGTCTTCGTGACGGGACACAACCTTCCTTTAACGATATCACCAAACTCCTTTCACAAGAGATGGAATCGTTCAACCAGGTTTGCGTCGTTCTTGATGCGCTGGATGAGTTCATCAAGAAAAAGGCTTTGACTAAGTAACTCTGCGGCGGGTGCTTTTTTGGATTTGGCGTTTTATTAACTACCACTACACATACACTATTTATCAAGACCCGATGGATGTACAGGTTGTCAGACTTCCTCCTTCCCTCTTGTTCTGCTCCTTAATCTGATTTCTTCTGGTATTTGAGTGGGTTGTGGAGTATTAGTAATGGGCATTTACGGTACTTTTGTGCTTTGTGTTGGGCTAATCAAGTTGTTTCTGTGGTTGGCCAAGCCTGAAGCCGTGGAGTGTGTCGCGAGCGTGTCGTCCTAGTGTGTGTCATGCTGGCTATGTTCTCGTAATGTGGAGGGGATCAGTGCTCCGAGCGTCTTCTGTGTCGTCCCACAATTGTCATTCCTCTTCCACCTCGGGTGGGTTCTGGGTCAGACCTCGTGGTTCCCCTAACCGAGTGAACGCTCCGATGAATTCACTCAGCGCTGTAATCCCTTCTTTGGTGCTAAGATTGTCCGGCAGGTACAGCCGTTATTATTACGCGCCCTTGCATATTTGAACGCAGGTTGCGTGAACACATACGGAAGGGAAGTCCTCTCGTCTTGCCATACAAAGCAGTAACTTGACTTATCTACGTAGGCGGGCAATGTGTATATTAAGTACATTATCAATTATTAACATATCCCGACAATTCAGCTCCCTAGATGAAGTTCTCATATCTCGGCGACGAGAGCATCACCACGGAAGGAGAGCATACGCAGAGAGGTTGATGTCCATGGAAGGCCTGATTGATGCATATTCAGGATCACGTATATACGTTATGCGAGCTCAAGCTCATATTGCAAAGGCCATGCATCTTGATAGTCTTCAATAACAACCTCGATCTGCATATGAAAGTTGCGTCAATGCAAGCCCAACAGGGTGACGATGGCGGACATACCCTGGAGTCACACATAACCAGCTACAAACCACTTCAGGACTGCAGATACAGTCAGGATGTTCTAGCACTCTTCTTGTTGTGCACTTCTTCCAGCACTTCACGTTCCCGCTTCAGTGGCACTGTCTCCACAAATCTTTCGGTAGGATAAAGTTTTGCGACAGATTCTTCAGCGGCAACTTTCCGGATGACATCCTGCCTGTAGCTCTCGAGGAGAGCCTTCCAGAGCTCGTCTGCTGGAAAAACCAATGCGGTACTGGAATAGTCATCTGCTGGTGTATTCCGATAGACATGGCCTCTTTGTATAATGATGTCTTGGTCCTTCCCATGGTTCTCAGAGTCAATCTGAGTGCATAGAGTCAGGCTTCAATCCAAACAGACGATAGGAGACAAATGCCAACAATAATATGTTCCACACGTTCTACGTCCCAATACCAGCGTCCTTCATCCGAATCCTCACTGATAAGATCACCATACAGCCTGAATGCGTCGTAGTCCTCGTTAGTTTTTGCTTTGACCCAGCCTTCATTAGGGTTGTGACCGTAAAGTGTTCTGGCTTTTCTCTTCGCATGCTCTGAGTAGTTGGTACCGTGTTCAACCCCCCTGGGTCCCATATAGACAAAGAGGTGCGCTACGAGCTTGTCAATCGTGCCGTCGCTCTTTTTGTATATCTTGAGTGCAAGGCCTGAGAGGTGCTTTTGTGACATGAGCAGAGTAAGTACAATGTCTTGGATGACATCGTACTCGGCTTCGAGTTCTGTGGGTGCACATTCGACGATGAGAGAAGGAAACGCATAAAGTATCTCGGCTTCCTTGTCGCAGGGCGCTGGGTCCCGATCATCAAAAACCTGATAGTTCGGCTGCTTTATACCGCCGCCCAGAAGAGTGATGTCCGTGGGACCGTAATGCTTGAGATCGATGGTTTGGTAGACCGCCCGTGAAATCACAGGCGTAGCGAACTCATGGATATGGGATGGGTATTTAACAATGAGCTGTTCCTCAATGATTTCCAGTCTAATAGTAGGCGACCATCAGTGACCATGATTGATGTAGGAAATATTACTACTAACCGAGCGGGGCAGGCCTCGCTGAATGCATCGAAATTGGCAATCAGCCATTCTCGCGATGAAGCATCAATCGCGTAGATGTGAATCCACCCTTGACGGTCTGGGCGTGATTGTAGGAGACTTTGGAGGGGAGAAGGAGCGCGCTGAAGCAGTTTGTCCCATGTAGAATCGTAATTATCCTGGATGAATGGCAAGCTGAGAGTCATCGGAGAGATTTAGATGGGACCGTAGCACAGCCACCGGAGTTTCAAAGAGACCACCACCAACGAAGACGAACTTTGCTCGATTAACGCTCTACCACACGCTTTCGATACTTTTCACATCTCCCAGCGTATCTACTAGGACCTACCGACCGAAAGCCCTCCTCTCAAGATCCGTATCATCTTCGATACTCAAGTACTCACACCGCCATAATGCAATGCAAGACAGACACCATAATCTCTGAGCTTAGCCTGTGCTGGACGGGACGTCGACTCCTAGACACATTCCACCACACCATCCCGGAACTTGGATCTCACGGATCCCCCCACAATCCACAGACCTGCTTTGCATCTCCCAGCAGTAGAACGACTTTCGCAGTCTGATTCGCACAGATGATGCGCGTCACCATGACAACTGGGGAGGAGGGAACTGGGAGAGGTGGAGACGCTCGGACTTGGTTCGCATAGATGGTGTGTCAATGTGTCAATTTTGAGCAGAGGATGGCTTGAGAGGAAGCGAGACACAGAATCTGGTGTTCGAGGGTGGCTATAGAGGAATCGACAAGTTCAGCTGGGAGACCGTCTTTGGTTGTACGACTCTTTGGTATGTCCGTTATTCTTTATCTCACTGAAATCCTATTGACGTTGTATCTAGTACAGTTCATGGTGGTCATCAGGCAGCTTGTTCATCTTCATTGAGAGGAAGGCCATCGAGAAGTTCGATGACATTGTTATCACTTTGTATCGGCTCCAAGGATATTGATAGGCCGTTTACTGGCGGTTTGTTTTTGACCTGGCCCTCGTTCCCTCGACCTACATCGCAGAAACTTTTGAAGCACCGTTACGCTTACCCATATGCCACACAAGTTTGACGTGAGGAACGAACGGCTCAAACTCTGTGATTGGCCAAGTAAAGCGTAGTGATCAGAGAGATCCCCCTTTGCCCCAGCGCTTCATCGCATTTCCCCCAGTTATTTGGCTCAAGCGGAGGCAGCCAAACAACGCGATCGTCTTGCGCTATTCGGTGCAAGTGTATTTTCGCTTCGTTCTCTCTCCGCTCTCTTCTTTCAGTCGCTCCGCCGTTTCTTCGCTCTCTTTTGACCCACCCACCTACTCCCTTCTTTGTTTGGGTAGCGCCTGGTCTGACGTGCAGCTACGTCTTTTCGGTTGCTCAGATTTCAGGTTTCCCCGAACAACTGAGTCCTCGGCTTCCACTGCTACGAGTTTGAGCTTCCGGCATCTCTTCATCCCGGTATCCATCTCCGGACTGGTTTCATTGCCGGTCTCCCTTCTGCTCAACTCACAGTTTTCTCAAAGCCGAGTTCTCTCCCCCCAAACCCAAGAAATCAAGGATTTCTTGTCTTGCAGCTCATCTGTTACATCACTATTTAGATCTCTCGATACTATCCCGCAGCTTCACTTGGTGTGTTCCGCCGCTCGCCCCGAATGCACGATAGTCCTGTTTTCCCAAATACGAGACTTAGAGCGTAGCTTCCCAAGCCAACAGCGACGAGTCGTACGATATGGATAGACCTGTAACCGATCGTCTTGAATGGGAGGCAAGCTCACGATCAAGACGACCTGTAAATCTGAGCTCAAATTTGGCTGATACATTTTCGCTTATCTCACACCTTCCTAAATAGAATTTGATACCTAATTGGGAATGGCTGAGAACCGCGTCGCGTTTGCGTCAATATTTTATTCGCCTGCAATAGAGGCATTTATTCATCCAACGAGGACACCAATTCATAAAAACATGTCTTCCAAACCAACTCCAGCTTTCAGCGCTCGCACCTAACCCGTCTACTCTGTATTCTCTGTACCTAATCACACTCAGCAACGCGAACAAATATTTCCTCCAGCTAATTTTGTTCCTGCAACATCGATAACATGCGCGAGCTCAGAAAAGAATGAATGTCCCTGAGATGCTACCGAGTCCAGTCTCATCAACATGGATCGCACGTCACGCACATAAATAAGTAATATTACAAGGTCCAGTCCAGTCTTATCTGAAAGTCACAAGGGAATTGTCATCTACGAGAAGGATAATAGCCAACAAGAAGAAGGATGTAATCATGGATTTAACGAGGTACCGGTAGAGTATCGAAGGTGATAACCGCAAGGAATGAATTAAACAGAAGGTAACGCTGTTCCAGACATCCGTGAGCGGCGAGTATTTCAGTCTACAGTTGCAAGAATACAGCCATAGACGAAAATCAGAGAAGGCGTGAGGACTTTGTACAATCATGGCAGCCAGGCGCGAAGAAAGTGCGTTGCGATGATGGTAGTGCATGAAGAGCCACGCAGCACAGCCGTTCCCAATTAGGTATCAAATTCTATTTAGGAAGGTGTGAGATAAGCGAAAATGTATCAGCCAAATTTGAGCTCAGATTTACAGGTCGTCTTGATCGTGAGCTTGCCTCCCATTCAAGACGATCGGTTACAGGTCTACGATATGGATGGCGAAGACAGCGATGTCCTTTTCTCCAGCCGACATGCCTACTGGCCACTTGTCAGGTTCTCCGTTCTCTCTCCATACGTTGAGACCGAACACTATCCATATTTTATCAGACAAGCGTGCTACTACAGGTTTCCTACTCTGCGAGCTGTAATCGATGAGCCCTCCGACGCACCGCCCACCCGACCAAAAACGACACGACTCGCCTGGTCTCAGTCGGACTCTAAATCTACACCGACCAATCCAAACGTGTCCTCCTCGAGAGGTGGCTCTCCTGATGCGATGCTTTGATGCCCCAGCCGCTATGTCTGGCATTCCTGCTGCGCGATGCAACGAAAGGACCTCTAAGTCCATATTTGGATCACTCAAATCACTTTCGGAGCCCAGACGACAACGACATGAGCAAAGCTAAGAGTGCAGAGTTGTGAGTTAGAGGAGTGCGTAGTCAGGATGGTTAGTACTTTCCCCTCTCCGTTCTACTCTCAGCTGTACTCACTTCTCTATAGTTCAATTGGGGATCCAATTTCCGACAACGCGACTTGCTTTTTGCGCCCTCAAGCACGTTCTTCACGGAAGTCAAAGATACCCGAGCGTCTCGCGGATTTGCTTCCTTGAAGGTTTACCAAAGACTATTTGGCAGATTCCACTAGACTTGAAGCGACATAGGAACGAAGAGTACAAATGGAAGGGAGGGATGTGCTTAATGCAAAAAAATTGTGGTGTTTCACGGTCTATGTTTCGCAGTCTGCACTGCGTACACATCCTCGTCATGCTCATACAGACCACTCGTATCGAGTACAAGGCTGTGTTCTACATAAGAAAATGAAGTATCGTCTTACCTACCGACATCGTTCAAGTCTTTCAGATCGTCTCCACCGTAAGCTAACCCCCCTCTTACCAGGAAAGCACAGCGTTTAGCTAAACCTCCGCAGGTATACATCTTTGGCCTCATCCTCGCCATGCAATTGCTAGCCCCGCGTCGTAATATCTATGCCGGCCGGTTAACTGCTATGTATTATAATATGTCGGCTGGGAGCCGCTCTTACGCTAGGCAGTCGTCACAACTACCACAGGATACTTCACTCGCGGCATGACCTACGCGTCATCGATATTCAACATGCAACTATTCAACCCAACAAAGCAACGGGGATACTGATCACATTGGGACAAGCCCGATGTTTCAATCAATAACCAGTATGTATCCGTGCTTCGCTTCTATCGCCTGAAAGCTGATTCTTGTTCCTTGTACTAGTAGCTCGTCGAAGTCTTCACTTCTGGCTTATCTCTACTTTAGCCATTCAATGGTCATGGGAGCAGGACTTCAGACTCAAGGCGCTGGCAACCTGGCAAAGCAGTGGTCTAAGAATCGCAAGCCAGGTTACCTAGTACATCGACGGCCGGGTGGTTCGCCGATTTGCTCTAGTCGGTGTGGAGCTGAGAAGTGTTGTAGGAGAGTCATCGGATGGATAAGATGGATCCGAAAGTCCGATCAAAAATCTCTTCCGTCTCCCACCATCGACAACCAGTATTCCTCACCTGCGCACCTAGCTACGCACGCTACAGAAGCCCCCTCCCATGGCCAGATTTCGGGTACCTCCAAGAGTAGGGGTTCCTCAGCTTGAATGAGAATCGGACGACGGATCAACCCGATAGTTTGTGCAGAGGGAGATGGCTGGGAAGGAGGGAGTTGCAGGATTCTGCATCGTGCTCTGTCAAAGCTCTCCAAATCTTGGGTAAGTCCACCATGCCTATCCCGCTAAACTCGTACTGATGTCACTTTCATGTGCAGTTCATAACGATCAAAGAAGGTTGCCAACAAGCTTGAGTCGTTCACCAAACCGTTGCTCTATCTTCTTTCGCGTATCCTCTGTCCCTTCGCAAGTCAACCCGTCGTCTCCTCGTCGTCTAGTTCTTGCTCATGTTAACAACATCCATGCGTCATGCATGAATGGCCCCTGCTAATTGTACTCGGCCATCTTCATGCCAACGCGTCGACAGACCGGGATCCGAATATGAGGGGTAAAGAGGAGGCATCCGAAAAGGAGCACATCAGGAATTTTCTGTCTGGCGAGGAAACAGTCGGACTAGCTAGTCCAGGTTCAGAGCCCTGCTGAGACGAAACGAATCGCGTCTCTTTTCACGTATGAGCTGACTCGGACCCTTCCGTGCTCCACGTCGGATCCAAAATGGACGACCTTTTGAGTAAGGAACATCAAGATATCTGTATGCCCACAACGGAGATCGATGTTCGTTCACTCCCATCACCCTCGTAGTTACCTACTACTCACTCTCCACTAGATCTACATCATGCTAGATACCATCAACTTCGGTGCCTTCATTGAGTTGCGCTCGTAGTGTACCAGCTGGCCGTTGAAATCCATTGCAAGAAGACTCCTGCATTGATGTCGTATCATATTTGGTACCGCCGGACTTGCTGCACCTGATTTCAGCGGTAGACTAGGCTGTGCGAAGGTTATCGAATCCGTACATGCGGGAGATACAGGCGGGTCCGAAAGGGCAAGACTAGTACGATTGCTGGGATGACGTT